AAAAAGAATGCACATCAACATCTGTGAATGAAAGGAACATTAATCGATTCCTTCATTGTCAGCTGAATGTTGGTGTAGTAAAATGTCATGATGCCTTTAAGAATGAGCGTCTGAAAATATCTTGTGTTTGCATAAGATGCGTGCCGCTTTCGCAAAGTAAAGCACAGATACTTCATCACGTTCAGCACTACTAGTTATTTGTTTAAACAATTATCTTGATTTCAGTAGTCACTAATGAAGATTGCTGGTGCATTATGATTCCTAGTAAAAACAGCAATCCAACATATGAAGACACAACGAATCACAACCTGCCAAAAGTGTTGGATTTCTGTCTTCTTAAAGTAATTAATATTAATGTTTTCAGTCACTGGAATAATACTGCAGAATTGGGTGCCTCAGAGCCCAGTTTTAAAGATAACTGGTGGGCACACCCCGAAGCCTGTGACTTCTGGCTTTTCCAATATTTAAGAAAGAACTTCAGAAATTTAGCAAGGACTAGAAAGTAAAAATTTGCCTCATCTGTTATATTACAGCAATTATTTTTCAGATAAAGCAGTTACGGTTTAACACATAAATCTTCAGACCTGTGAATTCGTATTACATTAGGAATAGATTCCATCTCTCGAAATTTCTGAAGATCATAATTTAACTTTATCATGTCAAATAAGAATGAATTTAGAAGTCTGGAAAGGATTTTCATGCATGATTCCTGAGAGTAGCCATCCCAGTTTCTGCTTTAAAGCATAAAGAGTACCTTTAGGTCCAAGACTTGAATGTTCCAATACAATTTACTGGGAATAAATCCTCTTCTATTAGAATCTCATTGGTTCTGGATATCAAAATGTTTGAATTAGCTAACATTAAGTTTTCGAAGTGACCTTGAAGGACACTGAAAACAAAAGTTGGGAAAAGTGAGGGTCATATTATTGCATCTACGTTAAGCATTTCATTATTGCAATATGAATTTCAAACAGAGCAGCTTTTGCGAGAATTTTATTAATTTGTGGTTTGATATTTTTACTGGCAGCTCTAATTTTTGAGAGCAAGCTTCGAGATTAGAGTTTTGCTTGAACCCACCATGATTCTACATGGTACATAACGTCCGATACTTTACAAGAATAATTACAGCTGATAATAAGGTCTGCAATCAACATGAGTAATTGCCAAAAAACTAGAATTAACATGATGTTGATTGCTCGTGTTTGAAAAATTCACATTGTCCTTAACTTTAGATGATGAAAGTGGAAATGATTTGTTAGAGTGCAAAAGTGTGCGATATTTAGCCTTACAAGGGCGTCATTTTGTAGAAATCAAACAATTCACAATAAAATGGTTTTTACGTTGTAGAGACATTAGGCTATTTCGAAGCAGGAGACATGAAAAATGAGCAATGCCCTAGCTGGGGATCTCGGACTTCTGGAATACGCGCTGAGTGTGCTGACTATTACACAATGAAGGCATGCTAAGAAGGCTGGAGAAATACCTTATGTAGCCCCTTTTAAAGGGCGACTGGGGATTATGGGACCCAGTCGCCAGATCCTGGTGGAGAAGAATCATCTCACCTCATTTTAGTTCGAGCTCCACTTTAGAGACATTAGGTTATTTCTAAGCAGGCGACATGAAAAATGTGCAGTGCCCTCGCCGGTACTCAAACCTCGGACCTCTCGAATACGCGCCGAGGGTGCTGACCATTACACCACGAATGCATGGAAAAAGTACCTTATAACGTAATTAATTAATGCATAATTTCCGATTTTTTAACTGTATTGCATTCAGTGTCTGGCACAATACTAACACCATAGAATAGCTGTAGCTTCAACACTGTATTAAGTACCTAATCTGTATGTATGTTTATGTCGTTATGCACAATGACTACGTATGGTTATATAGATAAAGGTGAGTTGACGCTATACCATTCAACCGTATTGGTAGAGGGGTGGTGCCCACATCCTCCGTCGTATGTCACATGTATTGCATTTATCATCTGCGCATGTTTTGAAGAAATGCCGACAGTTGTGTAATTCACGTAGTCTGAAACACTCAAGGCACGTTAGATTACTAGTTTTAGCTCTTTAATTTGCTATTATAGTAATACTATCTGACATTTCGAAATATTTTTTGTTTATTTTACACCTTTGATTTGACTTCATGTATATCTTACAAGATCCTCGCTTGTTTTTTGAGAAATATTGCCGTAAGTATAAAAAGCAACATTATGTTCCTATCGCCTTCTAAGGCTACCCTGTAATTTCATTCATGAAGTTCACGGGATTCTCTTATTACACGGTTTCGAAATAACAGAGTGCAGGCTTTGAAAAGCTTGCAATTGAACATGTCGCAGAATTTACTGCTGACGAAGTTTTCGATAAAGAAGAAATGCTCTAAACTGTTTTAGAGAATGACGATGATTAAGGTGGTCCAATAACAGCCTATTCAATCCTTGAAGGCCTGCAATTGGTTAATAAACTTAGGAATCATTTTATAAACAATATCACAACATAAAACGAGCTCTATAATTTCAGCGTGATTTGACTGCTTTCGTGACTCGATATCAAGAGTTATACAAAGAATTCACAAAAGCACGGTCACAGATATCAATAGCCGAATTGTTTAAATCCGGTAAACCCAAAAATATAGAAAGAAATATCCTACATCTCCTAGATAATTCAAGTGATGAAAGCGATGGCATATCATATGTGCGTAATCAGGGACGCCTATTGTCTAATAGTAAATAATCTTTGTTACAATTTCTTAAAGAAGTGTTTAGAACATTATAGTTTTAAATAACATTAAGATACAATAAACCATAATCATTTTTTGGAGGGTATCCAGAATTGGCTTTTATACGAGGAAGTCTGTCCACCATTATTCTTCGAACACTTTACCGTATGAAAAGAGAATCTGGTGTACTATAATTAAATCTACAAATGAATTGAATTCCAAACACTTCAAGTTTCGCATAAATTCATTAGAATTACCTAAGAACTCTAGAACTGATGTTCGGCAATAAAACTTCAAAATTTTTAAAATTAAAAAAAAATTATTTCATTGAGCATATGCTAAATTTTTCGTGGTACTTGCGTAGTATCTCAACCACATTAGCAGAAATCGCCAAATTCTGGCAACCATGTGCATAATAGTTCTTTACGTAACAATGTCCACTGTGAGTTGCAATGCGAAAGTTCGATGAATCACTTTTTCCTTCCATAAAATGCCGCCAAACTGCTCCAAGGTGGTTGCGCTGAAATTTACCTTTTTTTCGTATTGTGGCTTCGTGATATTAAAGCTGTCCAAGCTTCATTGTAACTTGATTCTGTGGTTACCAAATCTTTTAGTAGTTTATTGGCAGATCCAACCACGATTGCTTTCGCATACTGTAATTTTGCAAATCCGTAAGACCGATATATTCATGAATAGCAGATAAACACATTTGCCTCTAGCTTAACCAGTCTTCAATATTTCCATTAGAAGTAGGCAAATCAAATTTAGGGAGATAAACCGATGGAGGTAGAATTAGAACTATTCTCATGAGTTTTAACACATTTATTATTTTGTCACATTTTTTTATTATTTATTAGGCGCTCCACCATTATGCACTGCATGGAAAGGAAAGGATGTCCCGAGGAGGGACTTTTTAAGAAAAACGTATTCATATCTTCATACTCTGCACTTTAAACTAACATTTAGCTTTGATTCAGTCTTTATTTGGAATCGTATAAACTTTTCAGAATATTTCTGACTTTCTTCTACGGCTTTGTGTAACTCCTCTAAATCGTTAATTATGTCTTCATTTCTAAACATTTGTTGATTTTGTTTAGAAGCCTAGTAGTATCAGAGCAAATAACAGTTGGCTTTACTTTTGGTTTTTCTAAATTCGACTCGGTAAAATTAAATGAAAATATATTATTCCGAACACTAATATCAATAATATTGAATTTCGTTTTAAAATACATCCATAGGTCTCCGTCTTGACGGACCAAAAATGGTTATGGATTAAATTATTCTTATCGGTGTACTGTATTAAAATTTAAAACTGAAATGAATTTAATTTGCATAGAATTTGCTTAAACTCACAAGATTTCAGTTGATTAGATCTGAATTAAAGTAAAGAAGGTACACCTCTCAGAGGGAGAATAACAATGAATTTAATAAATTCTATACTAAACAGTATTATAATGAGTTTCATATTAGCATTCAAAGCAAGAAAACAACTGAAACCCAGAACACCAAATAAAACGTACTTTTTAAAATAATTTTTGCTTTTATATAAATTTTAATAATACGAAAATTGAAATAACGAACGTTAAACAATTAAGAACACAGAATAACTTTAGAAATAAATAAAAAAAATTAAAACATAAAATAATGTCTGACGTTACCATTTAGTGACAGAATTTGAAGACTTTAATCTGAATGTCAAACAAGCGTGTTTCCCAATAATATTAGCAAACCAGCAAAACCATTGCACTATTATTTTACTTTTCGTAAATTTATACCCTTTAAAGGAAATTTGCAAGATATTTTTCTTATGCTATCTGTTTTAATATAAGATACATGTTCGTCAATCCTTCACTTTCTAACATGTGATTTTTAGCTTAAAGAACTACGTAAAAACTTTATTTGCAATTTCTGTTTAATAATTTATTTGATGCAGCAAGCTATACGTATTATGAAAATAAATACGATAAAAACCATGCACTGAAATCAAAATAGTAAAAGGAAATTGAGGTAAAATGCGGTGCTGTCAGTTTAGAATTTTATTGTTTCTCTTTCTGGGGCTTATTCAAATTTCAACCCATTAAAATATCTTTCCTTCTTAAAAAAAATGATTTCTATTCTGAATATTTCCTTAGAGAAACCTTTAGATATTTCAAAACCTTTATTGATTTATCGCTTAATAATTAAATTAAAAAATTAAGAAAAACGTTTTATGCATTATAATCTATGTGTCAATATCAAAATTAGTGTATCAAAATTGGTGATGTAATGTTTTCTTTTAGTGGAAGGACATAGCTGAACCCTCCTGTCATGATGACTGGCCTAGGGAAGAACGTTGGGACACTACATTAGGAATATGTATCCGCAGCTATCCCATGAAGCAATTATATTACACCTTTGTAACCATCACCTTATTTTTTCTGCCTGTAGCTATCATGATCACAGCTTATCTTCTCATAATATGGAGACTGTGGAGATCTCAAGCTCCAGGCGAGAGAAATATCGCCAATATGAATGTGCAACACCGAGCTAAAAAGAAAGTGAGTTTATATTTTTTATCATTATATTCGTTATAATGTAAATTAACCGTTCAATAGCGTTCTTTTAAAAACTGAACGTTAAATAACTGTTAAATAAAATTCTAATAATTACCGTTAATTATTAATAACCGTATAATAATTCACCGTTAAATACGTTCTTTTCAAATACGTTCAACGTTCAACTTTCAACGTTCAACGTTCTTTTTAAACGTTTAACGTTTAAATTCTGAAACAAGAATTTCATTTAAAAGACAATATTACTTTCAGTTGATGAATTATTTTAACGGATCATCTATTCATGCTGCAAACGTCAAATACTTGCGCAAACTTACAGACTTTAACAATAACCAATTAACTCAATAAAACATGTCAGATGTATGCCGTATTAAGTAGCAACTCTTTAAAAAGTGTTTGTGTATTTTATCTGCAATGAAATAAAGTAATTGAGAAGCAGAAGATAAAACTGGAATGTCTTAAAACAAAACAAAACACCGAATCTGCTAGACCTGAGGGTGAAATGGCATCTAATCCAAACTTTCAGAAACTTTTGACCAAGCTTACTTTAAAAGCTAATTATATCAGTCTATTTCTACTTTTGGTAGGGTCATCTTTAACATGCAAAGAACTTATGAGCGCTTTATGTGAATGCAAAGCTGTAGTGAATGATATACCCCTCAAGTATACCTCCGAAGATTCACAGAACTTTAATCCGTTGACTCAAGCAATGGTTTTGGACAATCTACTTGCTGCAAGCGAAATTCCGTATCTTTAGGACAGTGCCATCATTTTCCGATTAACTTGAATAAAACTCCATTTCTTGCAAATTGTAACATTGATGGTTACTTGGCAATAAATTATATTCTTACAACAAACTATTAGCATCACCATTTTTTCCTATCCGATAGTCAAACTATAAACTCCAGACGGAGTAATCTATCACATCGACAAAATAAGGCATAAGGAAAGGTTAATATATCACACCTTGAGGGATATTTAAAGAAGGAGATTTAGAAGTAAGGATTTGTTTCATTTTCTGATTCCATGTGAACGGGCACACTGCATGGATGGTTTTCGTGATTTCCCCGTATTAGTACAAGCCAGTTTGCTTAAATATCCTCTAAGAAGGTATATCTCACCTTAGGCGGATTGTTCTCGTGTGCTCTGCCATGTTCAGGTAACTTATCTAGCCTGATCTTACTAATGAATTAATGACATTTTATTAACCCGTTTATTAAAATTGAAAATTAAGTGTCTCCTTCGATTTCCCTGCAATGTCCCATGCTACTCTAGTGACCCTAAGAAAATTCCAAAAGGCATCAAAATTTTTTGTAAAAGCTGAAATAGCAGAAAAATTTACGAATGGAATAAAATTCCATCTACTGAGATTTCTAATGTATTGCGTCTAATATTAATTAGAATTCACGTGTATTTGAGAATTAAAGGTCCTAATTAAAGACATAAACTTATATCCGCCCATAAAAATAGCTGAAGAATTACAAAAAATAAAGGAATTCAATTTTTAATCTTACGTTTACAATTAAAAATATTAATGACAAGAAATCGCATGCATTGGGAATTAGACAAATAATGATTTCATGAAAACGAAACATATTAAATAGCTTTTTTTAATGTTATTCATATTTAATTTCCTTTCAACAGCACAAATTCTATGTGAAAATATAAACGCAAAAAGCACAGCAAAAGGTATTGTATGATATTTCTTTAAAACCTAGAATTAAAACATTAAAACTTAAACGTGGTTCAGGCTCATTTTCCTTTCTTCCGAATAAAAGTATATTTTAAAGTACTTACAACAGCATTAAAAGCGGATGCTTTTGTTAATGACTTAAACTACGGTAGTTCGAAATATTTCGTATTTATGAATTTTAAAAAAGCCATCTGAAACGTATGAGCTCTGATATTTTTGATATTTTATTTCTGCATATTTAAAAAGAAATTAAAAGAATATATTCATCCAGTACTTCAGCTCTTCGAAAGCTTTCAAATAATTGACAAAAGTTTATCATTAATTTTATGCTGCTCGTACTCGAAAATTTTATAAAGCTCAAGCTAGCTCAAATTATTGCATTTTTATTACAAAACATTAAAATTAGCTTTTCTCATCCTAATTTTAAATTAAAAAATGCATATTCTATTTCGTTTGCTAATGCATTAAATGAATAACAATAATTGCTATTTTAACAAAATATTCAACAGTCGTAGATTATTCTGTTCAACATTATTCGGTTCTTATGTAAATTTATCATTTTATTTGATTTTGGCAGGCATTCTTTGATCAAACTCAGTGGAGCTTATTGCATTAGACCCAGCATTATCTCCAACGGCAAAAATATCAATTGATTGCTACCCAATATTTTAAACATATGATGCAATTAATTTACTATTTAAATGTTGAAGCTCCAGTAAATAACAAACTAGGTCTTGCATTCCTTAATATTTCAAACTGTTATAACTTTATATTTGGATCAATTTATAATGGATCTTTTCTTGTTATGTTCTAAAATTGTTTGTCACTAATATTTTAAAATTTTTTGCAATATGTTTTCAGCTTTATTTAAGAAGCATTTGAAAATCAAAACTCCTGGGCAAAAAGATATAAAAAAGCCCAATCCCACCCAAAGACAAAAGCAACTATCAAAAGAAACTCAACTCTGCTGAAGAAATAAATACTTCTATTTCTGCTGTACCAGTGGGAATACGATATTCCCCAGCTTTATATCAGCTTTTGTGAAGACCAAATCTCATTCTTACCTCTGAACTAGAAGTTTTATTGTAAGAACTGACCCACCGAACAATCTTATTTGCAGACTTCGTCCAAAAAGAAATATTTGCTCATACGAAAGGTGATGAAATAGTATTTACAAACCTCTGGAGAGAAATCGTCAACTTATTTTTATGCTGTATTAGAATGTTACAGTTATTTTCATACTGTTCTTTGAAAAACGTAAAAGAAAAATAGTAATCCTCAATAAATATGTGGTTAGTATTATTTGGGTTTGCTGAAAATGTTTCTCTTTTAAATATCTGATAATTTCGCAAAATCATCTGATATAAAATGTATACTTTTGGTGAAACTAATATATATATATATATATACAAAGTAGCGTCAGAAAACGTATTAGAACGATACTAATAGTATATATGGATACGAAAGGTGAGTTATTGTACGTATGATGTTCTTCCATAGCATTGATTGAATGGCATTATGAAACTGATCAGTGTTTCATAAACATGACCGAAAACACTGAACTTTACGGTTTTGAGAACGGGAACATCTAAATATTTTAATTATTTTAAAGGCTTTCCATCAGTTTACTCTTGTACAAATTTTCTTCTGTACTGTGATAAATAAAATGAAAACATAAAAAAGTTAAACGCTTAATATAAAAGTGTTGATAAATGAATCAACCTCGTTCGTTTTTCTATTTTTGCACAAAGCACCGCCTTAAGCATTCTCGATGGTTATCTTTACACTATCCGAGTAAATCAGTTTATCCTTTCTTCTAAATTGCTTTACGTCTTTAATGAGTGAAAGAAGTTTTTATTTGTGAAATTTATTTTATTTTGTATCTGTTTATCATGTAGACATCTTTAGTACTTAATGCTAGAATTTCTTTCGGCTTCTGATAGTGCGCGACAAATCAAAATTAGTTTCGGTTTCAGTATATATAACACCAATACTAGGTATTTGTACGCAGAATTTCTTAGTTCCTGTATTCGAGTCGACAAAGTATTCAAAAGCTATCTGCCCTCGCAGGTGTACCTTTACGAAAGACATTTTAGGGTAGGTTTATGGATAAGTGGGTTATACATAAAAAGAAAAAAAAAAAAAAAACGCATGAAGCCCTTCGATTCAATTTTTGGGATTAAATCTTGAGGTCAATTATCATTATTTCGTATTTTTAGTCTTTCGGCAATTGGTGAGCCAATTAATTCCGTTGAAATTTTGAATTGGACAATGGTAAGAATTGAGCTAAGGGCAACAGTAGCTGAAATATGAGCCTAAAGATGAAGGATGGAAATAGACGTAATGTTAAGCCTCTCTGTAATATTTCATATATGCAGCATATTTTAAATTATATAAATAATCAGAAAAATAATAATTCTGTAATAAACAGTTCTTTATCAAGGGTATTATATAAACGTAGTTCATTATGGATATTGCAGTCTTCAGGAGACATGGATCTATTGCAGCCAGGTAAAGGCCACCATAAGAACCCAAGACATAAGAACCCAAGACATAAGTTCTATATCCGTTACTATTTATTTTTATTTTAAAAAGAATTTATTTTGTAGCAGATATTTATATTTAGATACTAAATAAATAGATAATAAATAAATTCTACTTTATACCATTGTAACCACCATGTGGGTGATAACGTGTTCTTGTTCTTCCAACAGTGTTAACTTTGTAATGGCTCTGTAGAGAAGATCTGAACAATTTTCGCTTTGAAGATTAAGATAAATATAAATTTTTCACAGTCCAGCTATTTGGAAGTCTTCTTAATTTTGAAAACTGTCGGCCATTTATTTTCCTTTTATGTGCATGTGTATGTGCGGGTTGTGTATGCGAGAGAGTGGCCGTTTTTTAGAAATGTGCGAATGTTCTGTGAAATACTTTGGAATCAGTCTGACCTTTAACTGAAACAATACCACGTCAAGCTGCCTCGAATTCTTTAAGCATTCTTTTTTGAGAGCCACATTTTTAAACTTAAATTATATAGGTAGGTATATTGTTATTCACTTATATAAGGTACTCTAACGCTAGCTTTTGTAAAGAACGTCCTCTATCTGATTAACATATGTTCTCTGAGGTTGATCTTCTTCCAGCTGTCTCATCCATACTTGTCTTATATACTCGTTTCGTGTAGCTTCTTACGTTCATCCTCTGTCCAAACCATCTTAACATACCTTTCTCAATTCTCAATATTACATCCGTTTTCAATTCACAATACTCCCTAAAATTAACTTACCACTTC